GCCGCACGGCCGGGCGGGCCGGGGCGGCGGGCCGCGCGCTTACTGTCCAGGTAGTGCTCCAAGTACATGGCCGTCGCCATCTTCTCCGCGCCGCGCTCGGCTCTGCGCGGGCGGGCGGTGCCGGCGTGAGGGGGCGGGGCGCGCCGTGCTTCACTATTCATGAGCCCGCACGCCGATTGGCGTACGCGGCGGAGGGACGGGGCTAACGCGGGGCCCGCCCCCCGACTTCCGCCCGGCGCCGCGAGCGGCGTAGCAACGTGCAGGGCTGCTTCGCGGGGCGCGGGGACAGGAGTATGGGGGACAAGAGGCGGGGTGCAGGGGGACAAGAAGGACGAAGAGGGTGCAGACGGGGCCATGTTGGAGGCGGCACGTGCAAACCCGCGCTCGCGTTTGGGGCTCAGGGAGCCCCACTTGCATCACCCGATCCGTCGCCCCCTCGATCCCTGGTCCTCGCCGCCCGGTCGCCCACCATGTCCTGCTATCAAAACCCACCGGGAAGCCGCCGCGCTTGCCGCAGCCGGCCCCCGGCCCCGGCCTCCCCGCGGTCGGCAGTCATCAGTGGTCCAGTTTAGTCACCGCGTAACCCGTGACCCCTAGCTCGTCCGGACCCCTCACCACGACGGCCTCGGCCCGGCCCCTCCTGGCTCCTCCACTGGCGGTGGCCCCCCACCCTCCATGGGCATCAGCTCGCCGGGATCTGTGCCAGCCGAGGTCCCTCACAGGAGCTGGGACCAGCGCTGCACCAGCCTGCCCTGCACAGTGGGCTGCAGTGAGAGTCAAACGTGCCCAGACGCGTAGCTAACGCACAGCGACAGACAGTGGGCAGAAGAGCTGCAAACGGCCGGACAGCTGGGACTCAGGGGGGTTCCTTCTGCATCTGCACTTCGTGATGTCACCGTGGCTGGTGCTCACGGGGTTCACGTTCTCCCCTCCCTGCGGGCACTGGAGACCAGGGGGGCGGCCCAACTGACTGCGGGCCAGAAGCTGGGGGAGGCCACACCCCGCAGGCCTCTTCAGTCTGCTCTGTACTCAGATTGGCCAGAGAGAGAGGATGCCTGGGCGGTCCAGGACAGCTGAGCCCTGGGGGAAGAGCCTGGGACCGGGCCGCCTCCCCCAGCCCGCTTCCCTGTGTGAAGACAACAACAGGACCAATGCAAACTCCACACTTAAAGTGTATCTTCAGAGCTATGTTCCCATGTAGGAGCTCTGGCAACATAGTGGTTAAAGCATTCACCTGCTAACCAAAAGTTCAGCATTCGAACCCACCATAATTTGCTTCCATAATGAATTTACAACCTTGGAAACCCTCTGGGGCAGTTGTACTCTGTCCTAAATGCTATACTCTGTTTTGTTAACTCTGTCTCAAGCCACAGGCAAATACAAGTAGAAATAGTTTCTGTCACCCTTACACTCATTAAAGTTCAGACCATGCAGGAACTACCAAGACATTTCCTTGCTTGAGGGCACAGGTGGACTGTCTAGTTCACCTTTGAATCCAAATGTTGGCCCTTTGGGGTGCATCCTGCTGGCATCGTTTGATGCTTTGTGAGGGACACACACACAGGTGTGCATTTTCAATGTACACATGATTGCACACGATCAAGTTCTCTACCGCTTACATTTTTTTAACTTCCTCCTTTGACATAATCCACCTGCCCCCAGCCCTACTCATCTTCTACCTCGTCCTGTTTACTATGTGTATTTCATGGTGTTGGTGTGCTGTGCTTTATTTTGCAAGCACCTGCTCGATGTACGATGTTCTGTTTCTACTTGTTCATGATCATAAACAATGTCCCAGTGAACATCCTACTCGTATAGCTGTATGTATTTACTCCAGTGATGTATTGCTTCATGGCAGAGTACCTGAAAACTTGGTTGAAATAACCATTTTATTACGCCTCAATAGCATGAGGAGGTGGTGGGGGGAGGGTGACTCCTCTCTGTGATGTGGCAGAGAGATCCCTGGGGTGGCTGGAAGGCTGGTTCCACTGGGACTGTGGATCAGAACACCTCCACATGGCCTCTCTGGTACAGTGATCGTGGGGGAGTAGGACTTCTGACGACCCTGCAGGGCTTCAGAGATCTAAGAGGGCCTCAAAGAAGCTGTAAGACTCATGAGCTCCCACAGGAAGTGCTGAGATAGCTCCCTCCACATTGGATTGTCAAGCAAGCCAATAAGGCCAGTAAGATTGCAGGGGAGGGGAATCAGATCCCACCTCCCACTGGGAGGAAAAAAGGGATTTCCTTTCATCTTTAACCAACCACATCTAATTAGTTCTTTAGGGTAAATTTTTAGAAATGGTATTGCTGGCTTAAAGGGCATTGTGGTGGTGGTTAGGTCCCGCCAAGTCGGTTCCAATTCATGGAGATACCACGTACAACAGAAAACACACTGCCAGGTCCTCTGCTATCCTCACAAGCATTGCTCTGCTGAGCCCATCACTAGAGCCACTGTGTCCATCTCATTGAAGGTCGCTCTCTTTTCTGCTGACCCTCTAGTTTACCAAGTGTGATGCCCTTCTCCAGGGACTGGTCCCTACTGATAACATGTACAAAGTACATGAGATGAAGTGTGGCCATTCTCACTTCTAAAGAGCATTCTGGCTCCACTTCTTCCAAGACAGACTTGTTCATTCTTCAGGCAATCCCAGGCATATTCAATATTCTTTGCCAGCACCTCAATTCAAATGCATCGATTCTTCAGTCCTTGTTCTTTGTCCAGCTTTCACACACATACAGGGCAATTGAAAATACCATGGTTTGGGTCAGACACACCTTAGTCCTCAAAGTGACATCTTTATTTTTGAACACTTTTTTTTTAAAGAGGTCTTTTGCAGCAGATTTGTCCAGTGCAATACATTGGTGGATTTCCTGACTGTTACTTCTGCAGGCATTCATTGTGGATCCAGGTAAAATGAAATCCTTGACAACTTCAATCTTTTCTCCATTTATCATGATACTGTGTATTGGTCCAGTCGTGAAGACTTTTGTTTTCATTATGTTGAAGTGTAATCCATACTGCAGACTGTAGTCTTTGATCTTCTTAAGTAAGTGCTTCAAGTTATCTTCACTTTCAGCAAGCAAGGTTGCATCCTCTGCATGTCACAGGTTGTTAATGAGTCTTCCTTCCATCCCAATGCAGTTTTTCTTCTGATAGTCCAGCTTCTCGGATTATTTGCTTAGCATACAGATTGGGTAAGTACAGTGAAAGGATACAACCCTGACTGCAGGGCAATGAGTTTCTCTCTTTATATGGCTTTTCCGAACATAGTCTTGTAACTCTCACTAAATTATCGAGTGGGACTGTGTAAATAAGGTGTGCAAAACTTGCCAGATTGGTTGGGACTATGCAAATAAGGTGACTGTGGTCTACCTGGGGGTTAGTTCGAGGTCTTGCTGGGGGAGGGGTATGCTTGGAATGGATAAGGGGCTTGCTGAATACCAGTTCACCCTGACAGATTTCTAGAGACACTTGGAGAGAGAGGAAGGAGTTGTGGCACTGGAGGCAGCAAGAGGCAGCACAGCAGCGAGACTGACAGCAGGCACCAGGAGAGCAACAAGACGCTGCTGAGCTTTGCTGACACGTGCAACCGTAACACTTACCCCAACAGGCAAACGCCAGACCCTGACAGGGCCCAGTGAAAGGTAGGTGGGAGCCAAGGCTGGCCTGCAATCCAGCCAAGCAGAAGCTATATCCTGAGTTGTTCCTGTTCCAAGTTGACCCAGATCCTGAATGACAGCAGTGAATGGTTTCTTTTTCTTTTCTTTTGACTACCCAATAAAGGGGGAGCTCTGGTAGCTTAGTGCCTAAGGCACTTGACTGCTAACCAGAAGGCTGGTGGTTCAAACCCACTAGCCACTCCTCGGAAGGAAGATGGGGCAATCTACTTCCGTAGTGATACTGCCTCGGAAACCCAAGGAGGGGTTGCTATGAGTCAGGGCCGACTCAGGGGCACATAACAACAACAACCCAATAAAGGAGCTCTGGTGGTGCAGCGGCTAAGGCATTCAGCTGTTAAACAAAAGGCCCGGTGGTTCAAACCCACCAGCTGTTCTGTGGGAGAGTCAGTCTACTTCTGTAAAGATTTACAGCTTTGGAAACCCTATGGTGCAGTTCTATTCTACTCTGTCCTGTAGGGTTGTGATGAGTCAGAATCCACTAGATGACAGTGGGTCTTGTTTTTGTTGCTGCTGTTGCTGTTATTTGCCATCGAGTTGGCCCCGACTCATAGTGACCCCTCCTTGGATTTCCAAGGCAGTATCACTACGGAAGTAGGAATGTTAGTACCTGACAAACCACTTAACTATAAATATAGATCTTGAGTTTTATGAGACACTGAAGCAAATTACTGAACTCAAGGATGGGGGAAGAGTCCAATAGAGCCTGGTGGAACCGCTGAGACTATGGCCCCTAGCTGCCCTTCAGGTCTGGAAACGAACCCACACCTGTGGCTTCCAGCCAAACAAGACAGGCATATGAGCTGAACATTTACCTGAGGTAGATACACTCTTTGGAGAGAACCATCACAGGAGAAAGATGGGCTGCTTATGCACAGGGAGACAGCTCAGGGGGCAGGAGCGCATGGAGGGATGGACACAGGGAAGAGGTAACTATGGGAAGGAAGTGGGAGGGGAGCTGTTGCATTGTGGTAAATCGTGGTGAATGTCATGAGACAAAGTGTATGTGAACTGCTGTATGGAAAGTGAATTTGCTCTGTAAATTTTCACCCAAATCACAATTAAAAAAAAAAAAAGGATGGGGGAAGAGCACTGAAGGGAGTGGGCCAAGTGGTGAGATGGAGTGGCACAGCAGTTTGGAGGTGGAGGGCCTGTGGGACATCCTTAACGTCTCCCTCATAGGGACTAGCTGCACACCCTTCCTAATTGTAAACCACTCAGTATCCCCTTGTTCTGTATGAACAACTGCCTCTTGGTCTATGTACAGGTTCTGCATAAGCACAATTAAATACTGTGGAAGAAACGCTGCAGTGAGTTATGGTGTTGGGAAAGACTGTTGAACATACGATGGACTGCCAGAATGAACAAATCTGATTGGGAAGTACAGCCAGAACGCTCCTAAGGGAGCACAGCGAGACTTTGTCTCACATACTTTGGTTGTGTCATCAGGACGGACCATTCCCGGAGGACATCACAAGCCTGACACACAGCATATGTCCCTTCCTATCTGCCTGGTGAGCTCATCCTGTGGACATGGTACAAGGGTGCCCTGGGACCTGGCCCAATCGTGGGGGAGTCCAAACCCTGGGCAGAGGGGAGGGGTCTCTTTCCTATTCTACACCTTTCCTCCTTTTGAGGGAATGAAATGGACAGCTCAGAACAAGAGACATCACAGGGTTATTCCTCTTCATGTAAGATAAACTGTTATGGATTCTGTCCCCAAAATATGTTGCAGTCCTCACCCCTGGTAGCCATGAATGTAATCTTGCTTGGCAATCAGGGTCTTTGTGGATGTTATGAGTTAGATTAGCATGAGGTCATCCTGGAGAAGGCTCAGCCTTAATCCAATGTTTGGTGTCCAGATACACAAAACACAGCAGTACGGCCTTTCTCACGATGGTTTGCTGCGACTGGGTGGGGCTGTGCAAATAAGATGCATGGCACCCTTCGGGTGAAAGCATGCAAACAAGGTGTATGGAACCCCAAGGAAGGAAGGTATTTGTCAGTTTTAGATCTCCCTAGGCTTGAAATGAGCCATCCCAACAAAAAGAGAGGATTCCACTGCTAGCAAGAGCTTTGAACCCAGGGTCCCTGCACTGAGAACCTCCTAGATCCAGCAAACAGTTGTTAACACCAGAGATGGCAGACAGCAAGCAGCACTGGCAGAGGACGTGGCAGCAGAACCAGACTGGCACAAGACAACACTGTGGGCTTCCTGGCCTACAGAGCAAGGCAGCTGCAGTGGGTGTGCTGACCCAGAGCCAGAAGACTTGAGGGCTGAGAGCCTTCAGGCAGGAGGCTTCCTGGAGGAGTGGGGTGCCCCTGGACACCTGTCAGGAAAGCTGATGAGCTTTGTGAACACCTGCCTGGGCAGGGCAGAGGCCAGGGGTGAGCGCCGAGAGGCATGGCCTAGAGGAGCCAAGAGCTGTCCTGCACTGAGGAAGGCGGCCTTTGCCTACATGCTTCCTGATCCCGATCCCAAGTTGTAACCTGTTATTTCCTAAATAAACCCCATAATCCTGAGTATTGCCTATGAGTTGTGTGGCCATTGCAAAAGATTATTTGAACGCTAGAGAGAAGTAGCAAGTGCTGTGAGAGGGACACAGTTGGTGTTAAAATGGGTAGAAGGTTGGAAGGTGGCAACCTGTCTGATCTCCAGGAGCTCATAGGGATCAGCCCCGGGCTGATGACAATTCTCTCCTCCAACTAGTGAAGTTAAGTGAGGTCGGAGGACGCCCGTTACTTTTTGCACAGCACAAAGGGAGATGGCCATGTGAGGATATAGGCAGACACTGCAGTCGTGCAGTGGCAAGTCACAGAATGCCTGGGGCGCCGGAAGCTGGACTGGGCTCGGCAGTACTTCTCCCCCATAGAAGTACTTTAGAAGGAGTCCGGCCCTGCCGACGCCTTGACTGGACTTCTGGCCTCCAACACCAGAATAGATTTCTGCTATTAACCCACTTGGCAGCACTCTGTTACAGCAGCCACAGGAAAAGAATAGTCTCCAAGCACAGCCCCCTTGTTTCAGGCACTGGAGGCAGTGCCTCCATGTTCTCGTAAAAGTAAAGCAAGTGTCGTCTTGGGCAAATTCCCAGGAGGCCTGGGGATGCAGTGTGAGAGCAGGGCGCAAACCCGCACAAGCCGTAGTTTTGGGACTCGGCAGAGTCGTGCTTCCGGAACAACACAGACAATTTGAACCAAGTTCTTTTTCCAGAATTGTCCCGGGGCCAACGTCCAGCCCGCCCTCCCCGACTGTGCTCGGAAAACACCGGGTTCTCGTGGGGCGTCGGAGCCAGACCCCAGTATGCCTGGTGCACCCCGCTGAAGCCACCGTACAGACTTGGCCTCCCGGGAACCGGGCTCCTGGCGGCGCTTTGGTCGGAGTCTGGCACTTAGTACGGTGCTCAAACGCCTTCTCGCACTGCACCACCTAATACCTTTCCCCCACATCCGCCGCACACTCGGGAGGGCCAGGGCCTGGCTTCCGCAGCAGGAGCTCGTGCACCAGCTCGGAGCTCCCTTCTTTCGCCAAAGGACAGCCAGCCGGCAGTCCGGCGCAGGCGACCATGACCCGGGCCTTCTTACGGCGTCCTCAACCTTACGCTCTCAAAGCGGGACGTCTAATTCCCGCAGTCCACCGCGCGGCCCGACTCGACCCCTCTACGGCCGGACGACGTAAGCCCGCGAGTCACGGCACCCGAACCCAGCCAATCCAGCCAACTGCGGCAAATCCCGGCCCACGCCGGGGCGCGGGCAATCCCAGCCAATCCAAGCCCGCACCACGAGGAGCCAATCCCAGCCCGCGCAGCTAGCGCGCGCCATCCTAGCCAATCCCAGCCCGCGCCGTGAGGAGCCAATCGCAGCCTGCGTCAAAGACACCGGGCAATAGAGTCTCTTCGCGGCAGTGACGTAGGAGCGGCGACGCGGGGCTCCCGGCGGCGGGAAACCGCTATGGCTGGCTGGCGCGGGGCGCTGATCGTGCTGGAGGGTGTGGATCGCGCCGGCAAGAGCACGCAGAGTCGCAAGCTGGTGGCTGCGCTGTGCGCCGCTGGCCACCGCGCCGAGCTGCTCCGTTTCCCAGGTGGGTGCCGCCCTGAGTCCTTGTCCTGCAGCGAATGGCGGCCCGCTGGGGACGCTCCCCTGGGTTTCTGCGTGGGGCAGTGACGTTGTGGAGCTGCACACGCCGACTGTGCTCCTGAGTGTTCTTCCCGAAGCAGCGGAATTGGCGACTCATTATACAGTCGGGGAATTTCACCTGAAGTCGTCCCAGAAACCGAGGCCCGATTGTGCTAGCATTCTTCCGTACGGGGTTTGCCCAAGGGAAGTGCGTTACCGCGACCGAGGCTGTTGCCTGTACGCGGTTGTCTAAACGCGTGTCCCTGTGGCAGTGGATGCATCCCAGTAGCCGCTTTGGTGCATTTTTGCTTTTAGATTTGAACGTGTGTGTGGCTCTGGAGCTCTGGTAGCATAGTGGCTAAGACACTTGCCTGCTAACCAGAAGGCTGGCGGTTCAAACCCACCAGCCACTCCTCGGAAGGAAGGTTGGGCAATCCTACTTCCGTAGTGATACTGCCTCGGAAACCCAAGGAGGGGTCGCTATGAGTCGGGGCCGACTCGACGGCACATAACAACAACAACAACAGGTATACATACGCACGCGAGGCCGTCTGGATAGTCCAGACCGCTGTGTCCAATCCCCAGAACGGTCCTGGAGCTCTTAAGTGTGTTGCCTGTTTCTCACCTTCTTGATAGGTTTGTGTCATCCGACGGGCTTTACGGCTGATTTTCAATTTTCAGAATAAAATACTTAGCTTGAGAATGTTTATGAAAATATGCTCAGCATTCAGATAATCAAGTGTTACCAAAAACGTGGAAGAGATGGGAAACGCTTTTGTGAGTGCTGCCTGGTTCTAATCTTTAGCCAGCCAGTCCACAAACCTTACGAATTCTTCTTTTGACATCACTCCTCTCTACCTGGCACACCTTTCCGGAAGCACTTCCTGTCTTTTGTTTCAACGGACAGCTGGCACTTTCCCAGGGAAACTCCTTAATGCCAGGAAAAGGTCCCAGCATGTCTCCAGATGCAGGCGAGTTGACCTCAAAGCTGCCTTGAATCCAGGATGGAAAGCTCCATGCGTGTGATCTTCTAATGTGGACAGAAACTCGACCCCACTTTAATCTGTGTGTGTGTGTTTCTCATTTTTTCTAGAAAGATCAACTGAAACTGGCAAAATCCTGAGTTCCTACTTGGAGAAGAAAAGAGAAGTAGAAGACCACTCTGTGCACCTGCTCTTCTCTGCGAACCGCTGGGAGCAAGTGTAAATGCACTGTCTGTGCCCCTGCCAGCCTTCTCCTCCCCTGTGCTTAGCAGGCATCCCTGGAGTTTGTGGGACCCTGGTGGTGCAGGTTGAAGTGCTGTGCTGGTAGCCGAAAGGTTGGCTGTGGGAACCCAGAGCCACTCACGACAGGTGTAGCAATCTGCCTCCGTAAAGATTCCAGAACAAAAACCAAACCCGCTGCCATTAAGTCAATTCTGACTCTTAGCAAATAGTGACTCTCATTGGGTTTCCAAGGCTGTAAATCTTTACGGGAATAGATTGCCCCATCTTCTTTTCGTGGAGCATCTGGTGGCTTTGAACCACTGACCTAGTTAGCAGCCAGATGCCTTGGAAACCCTGTGGGGCAGTTCCACTGTGTCTTCTGGGGGTGCTGTGAGTTGGAATGGACTTGACTGCAGTGGATTTTTTCTTTGGTAAAATTTGCAGAGTAGGACTGAGTCTTGGTGTGCCTGCTTTTGCATTAAGCACTGTTCCTCACCAGCACCAAACCCCACTGTCTTTGCGTATTTTCTCCCTAAGATCATAGCAGCCTTGAGGATGGGTGTCAGTCCAGGCTCTGAGGTTGTAGGCTCTACCACCCTGCCTCCTGTCTCCTGTCCCCGGCTTCCTGCCCTTCACGGGTCAGCATGGGACCTTGGCCCCATTCCCAACAGCTGGGTGTCATCCTGGGACCCAACACCAAGCGTGCCTGCATGAGTCCTCTCCCTATGCCCTACTTGGGGCAGGAGCTGGGACCATAACAGGTATATTCCTGTTCTCCAGGCCTTTAATCCGAGACAAGTTGGACCAGGGCATCACCCTTGTTGTGGACCGCTATGCCTTCTCTGGTGTCGCCTTCACAGCGGCCAAAGAGGTGAGTGGGGTGGCCCACATCCACCAAGAGAGCCGGCCTGTGTTTCTCAGCCACTTGTCCCATGTAGGGGACTTGATGCCCCTGGTGCTTCGTGGCTGTCGTGTTCCATTTGTTTTTCTGCTGCATGGGTTTGGTCCTTATTTACTGACTGAGCACACACTTAACTTTGCGTCCCACTGCCAAGGATGGTCTGTCAGCACTGTTTTCGATCAGCCTCACTTTCAGGCCAGACACTGGGTGATGGGATGCTGTTTGGGTTTCCTAGCACCACTCTAACAAATACCACAAGTAGAACAGCTTGAAGAAAGAGGAGTAGATTCTCTTACGGTTTTGGAGGCTAGAAGTCTGAGCTCAGAGTGCCAGCTCTAGGGGCTGGGTGAAAGCCCTTTGACTTTGGCTTCAGCTCTGCCTCATGCTCCCAGCCCACTGCAGCTGCAGGCTCTCTTCACTCAGGCAGCTGCTGGCTGTTGACTGCTGAGGCTGACAAACCCAAGGTTGACAGGTAAAATGGTACAGTCCCAATGTTGCCAAATCACACAGCAGGCCATTGATTCAAGTCCATTAAAAGTCCCCAGATTGGCAGAGCATGGCAGGCTGCTGAGTGAAGACTTGACTACATGCAGAGTTCAAGCGTGCTGAAAAGCTATAGACTGTTATCAGAGCTCCTCCCTCTTATATGGGAAGCAGACCACATCCTTCAAAGAGCTACTTAGCTTCTTGTGGCAGATCCTACCATGGAGTTGATTGCCAGTCTTACTACCAGAAGCTGCCCAGCCACTCCACACCAGGGCCAAGATGACATAAAACTAACTACCACAGATGCCAAGTCTTGCTTTCCCCATTTTCTGTCCTGAACTGTTGTGTCGTGGAGAGAGTGGCGGGACCAGGCATGTTCCTTTGTGCACTTTGTCTAAAATACAGAGCAGGCGCCGAAACAGAGTCTGGCCGTGTACTACGTGGCCTCCATGTGGCCCCCACCATTTTCCCTCATATTTAAATCCTTTGGCTTCTGCTGCTTCCAGGGGTGTTGGGCTCTCCTGCTGAGAGGCGCGCAGTGCTGCCTGTCTCATTTGTGTGTCACCATGTTGGTGGTGGCTGCTGGTCTGGGGTTCACTAGGGCCCAGGAGTGACCCCCAACCTGTCACCTCTTCAGGTCGACAGACCCTCCTTTGTGATACACTCCCCACCAGGCATCCAGCTGCTCAGATCCCGTGTGTAGTGAGGACAGCACACGTGGCTGGGGCCAGTGTCCTGAGGGGAGGCGGTGTAGAGGACAGACCCGTGGCCTACGAGTAGGGCCAGCACCTAGGGAGGCCACGTGGGGGCAGGGCCTCTGCTGGACTCAGGGTCAGTGGCAGGGATGGCGTCAGCCTGGTGGAGAGTGTGGCCGCAGGGCATCGCCTGAGGACCAGGATGGGTCGGGGACAAGGGCCTGGGCTGTGGTGTGTCTTGCTTTCTTCCTTCTGCTGTGGGATGTGTGCGAAACTTCTGAAAAGGCAGCAGCAAGCAGGAGAGCAAACCCTCAGATTGCCACAAAAATGGGGAGCATCCCCGCTGTGCAGATTGTCCCCGCCACCAGTGCTTGCACCTCCCCCCTCATGACTTTTGAAACAAAATCCACCCTCCTCTGAGTGCCGCCTCCACCTACAGAACTTCTCCCTGGACTGGTGCAAGCAGCCGGACGTGGGCCTGCCCAGGCCCGACCTGGTCCTGTTCCTGCACCTGCAGCCGGCAGATGCTGCCCAGCGCGGCGGGTTTGGCCGGGAGCGCTACGACGATGAGGCCTTCCAGGAGCGGGTGCTAGGCTGCTTCCAGCAGCTCATGCAGGACCCGAGCCTGGACTGGAAGGTGAGGCTGCTGGCCAGGGTGGCCTCCAAGGTGGGGCATGTTCTCTGGGCACTTGTTTCTGCCCAGTGAATCTCTGGGCTGTGTCCCACTGCAGAACCCTGGGCTGGCAGGCGCTTCCTTGTGCTTTTGCCATCACTGTGCCTTCCTACCTTGACGTTGCCTGTGTTCACCCGTAGGCTGGCCTCATGCTGCCTGGGCCAAGCCATCCAAAACCACCTTGGCTGGGAGGCATGGGCAGGAGGGAGGGGTCAGAGTCACCCTCCTTTTTCCTTGCTCATGTTTTGTAGTCACATTTTGTGCAATGGCCACCACTTTCTGAGTGCACTGGGGCTCCCTGGGTAGCTGTGCCAGAACTCACTGCCCTCAGGCTGCTGGAAGGGCTGGGTGGCTACCAGGCACGCCCAGCAAAGCCTGCCCACCTGTGCAGTATCTGCCTAAGAGCCCAGGGTCCCAGCTGGCTCGCTTAATCCCCCCAGGCAGGGTGGGTGTGTATCCCAAACCTGTATTGCATGGTGGCAAGGTGTGGTGGGGAGCACTCAGCCAAGCTCCTTGTTCCTAAACAGACAGGGTCACTGTGGGCTCATGTGGGGGCTCTGCCCAGAGCACTAACAACCCTTTTCCCCACCACGTGCCTCTTGAGCAGATGGTCGACGCCTCCAGGAGCATAGAAGACGTGCACAGGGAGATCTGCACCCTGTCTGAGGACGCCATTCGGGGTGCTGCACACAAGCCGCTGGGCCAGCTGTGGATGTAGGCATCAGCATTCACCCACGAGTGTGTGTCGCCAGAGGGGATAGGTGGGTTACAGGGGTGTCTGTGCCCTGCAGCAGGATGAGAGCTTAGGCCTGGGTGGGTTGCTTGTCTCTCAGTCTCTGCCTGTTTTCTGGAGGATATTAAACTTGTGTTTATTGACATTCAGCGATAACCACATGGAGGCGGTTTGGCTGTGGTCACGCACAGTGGTGCTCAGCTAGTACCCGTGGATCTGTCAGCCCGGCAAGTCCCCAAGACTCCAGCCTGTGCCGAGCCAGGCTGCTCCCTGCCCTGTGCTCACCCTTGATTCCACCCTGGGCCTGCTCCCCACCACGCCTCGGCACCACGCAGTCTAGGTTTGGGATACACGCTGATGCTGCCTGACGGGTCTGGCTCATCCCAGCTGCAGCCTGGGCGCCCCGTCCTGTCAGGTGGTTATGTGCGTCCAGAGGGCTGGGAACATCACCGCTTGGGTGTGAATCGGTGGCAATAGAAGGGCTCCTTCAGAGGCTTTCGAGCGGGAGAGGGTGCAGGTCGGGAAGACCAGCCTTCAGCATCTGGTGGGGCTGCTCCAGCGCTCTGCCCTCTGCGGCTGGAAGGTGGGAAGGCAGCCAGAGGATCGACGCTGGGGTAAGGCCTGCGCTTCACGAGGCCACGAGCCTGTTCTGACTGCAGGGCCTCCGTGTGATCACCCTGGGCACTGGCAGAGCTGGGACTGCAGTGGGGGCCCAGGGCATCCTGGCCAGAGGCCATACCCTACATGGGGAGACCACACACAGGACACCATCCATCAGGGGAGCCTGTGCCCTGGGCTCGTGGGAGGCCTAGCCCCCACTGGTCCCTGGTCTGTCCCTCAGATGTGGTATCCTCATGCTAGTCCTACGATTCTCCCACAGGACTTTGGATGGTGGCTGTGTACCATCACAGTCCTTGCAGAGGGAAGCTCGGGCAAGAGGCTGCAGGCAGGACCAGTGAGCTCAAGAGGCTAGAGATGGGGGACAGCCCTCCCCAGATCTTCCAGTGGGAGGCTGCTTGTGGCACAGGTTCCAGACATCCAGCCTCAGTCTAGGGGCCTTGCTAGAGATGGGGTCATGTCCCCTGGACTGTCTTCCTTAGCCAGACCATACAGAAGCCTTAGTGATACCACCTGTTTTAATCATGGGACAGTGTGTGAGAAATGTAGCTGGAGAGTTACATAGGTTCACAGATCTACTTACCACAACATTGTAGCTAAAACACCAGAAACCCGACAAAATCAGCAACTATGAAAATGGGCAGCAGCAACAGAACACACGATTGCAGCATGTGCAGAGAACCCTGTGAGTGGAAGCCCCGGGATGACAGCCACGCAGCACACATTCAGCTGTTCACTAGCTCAGTTTTAGCCTGTAGGTCTTGGTTCGTGGAAGCTGGGCTTACAAAAAATGTTTTTATAAGTGCAGAATAATTCTATAAAAACTGATTTCTGCTAAAACAGTGTAGACTTTGATGTCACTCCCTCTGACAGTGTTACCAGCCTGCACATCCCACTCTACCCCAGTGACACCACTGTCTCTAGGAGGGCAAGTGTGCAGGTGTGAACCACCTCACCCGCGGCTGTTTGTTCTAGGAGGTGCCTGAAGGCCCGATTGAATTGGCCATCAGGTGCATGGTGTACACCTGGCTCTAGCAGTGGCTCTGCCCCTCCCGTCATCTCAGTCACTCTGCTGTACGTACTTGCACCCAGAGCGTGTGTGGGTGTGGGTGTGGGTGTGTGGTGCAATGTAGGCCAGGTGTGCTGGCCATCCCTGCAACCTGATCACCATGTGAACAAAGCTTCCCATCTGTCTGGTTAGGACTCCATGGGGCTAGAGGCCATTCTTCATGGCTTTAACGCCAGCTGAACGTGGCAGGGGTGAGGCCAGTGGAGGGGGTCCTAACGTGCCCATTTGGGCTCAGCAGGGTCATGGTCTCCCCAGGGTATGTAGCACTGTCACATGGCTGACACCTGGAATGGACTGCTCTTGGAAGTCCAGCAAAGTGGACACCTGTTGGGCCTGCTTTCCAGGCCCACACCCAGGCTTGTGGACCTGAGGGCTGCATCACAGGCCTGCAGAGGTGAGGGCACCCAGGGGGGAGGCTCTGCTGCTGTTTGCACACACCCAGGCCAGTCACACAGTCCTCTGCACACACTGGTCACCCAGCTCCTTTCTTGAGAACCTCTCACACAACATCACAAACTTGGGAAACATCCAGTCATATTTTCATCCAGATACCACGTTCAACTGAATTTTGAGGAAAAAACAGAACACAGAAAGTTTTCTACTGAAATGGTTATTACTTGCTATTAAGAATTGCAAACTACTGCTAAGGAGGAGTGACGCTCTCAGTAAGCCTTGTCACGAAAAGGACCCCTAGCAGATGCTCCCTTGCTGCCAGGCCCCACCTGCCCCAGCAGGCACCGTGGCCGCATCTCTATACAGAAAATGCAGAGCAGTGAGGGATGGAAGTCACCTCTGCCTCCCCGCTTCCCCACCCAGCTGTGTCAGCAACCCAGGGTGAGGAAGGGGGAAAGAGTACCCTCACATCCCCTCAGGAGCAGTGGTGGGCTGCTGGGACGCTAGCTTGCAGGGACAGAGCTTGAAAATGGGCCCCTGTGGGAAGGGCACACCCACCCCCCAGCTCTCTGGGAACACACGCTATGCCTGGTTAACACTGGGGTACGTGGGCCAGGGGTGGGGTGACGGGCTGTATGAGCACACAGTGCTAAGCGAGGTGCATTATTGTCAGTGGAGGAGCAGCACTGCCGCCTGGCTGGCCTTGCTTCCTGAGCTGCAGCAGTTTTAACCCTTTGCCCCAAACCACCTAAGCCTGCAGCTACCTGGGAGGCAACTGAGAGTGAGGAGCTCTGGTGGCAGCTGCTGGGGGCCAGGTGTCCTTGGTCACAGCCAGCGGTGGCCCCTTCCCCACATCCCAATGCCATCCAAGAGTAGGTCCTGGCCTGTGGCCTTCCAGGCTGGTGGTAGCAGCATCACTGTGGCCCCAGAGCACTCGGCCCTGTCCCCTCTGCTCAGTCCCCGGAGTAGGACTCACAATGACCCTTCTGGGTTTGCTGCTATGGTCCCCTTTGCTGTCTTCTCCCCAGAGGAGGGGACACCTTGCCGATCCTCTGGCCTTGCTGAGGTAGCCCTTAGTGGCCGCACCAGGGCAGGTTTGAGCAGCGGTGATGGCCAGATCGCCTACGCCCACCTGCAGGTCCAGGATGCTGGCTTGGGACATGCCCGACACAAATCCATGTCCATGTCTAGTAACTTCAAACGACTTTAATTCCAGAACCAGCCACAGAGAAAGTCACCAGGAGGAAGCGGAAGAAAGCCAGTGCATGAAGGCAAGGCTGGCAGTGTTGGCAAAGAAGCTTCCAGAAGCGTGAAGACCTGCTCTGCCACTGTTCCTCGTGCGGCCTCCACCCAGAAACGTCGGGCAGGCCCACGAGGGCGCCGGCTGAGCAGGTTGGTCCTTACTCCAAGTGCTGAGGCCCTGGCCACGGAGTCCAAGCCACACCATGTGGGCACCTCTGGGCAGCGGTCTGGCTCGCACCTCGGCAGGTGGGCAGGCTGGGATGGACGAGACGTGGGCGCCAAGCGCCCAAGGGCCAGCAGAGACTGTCCCCACCCCCATGTCCTCAAAGGGACAAGATCTCAAAGTCTTCATCTTCTGAGTCAAAGAACCTTTCCAATCGTTCTACATCAGAAGAATCTAGAAGAGAAGGGACGTTTCAGAAAGCAACTCAGCCGTGGGCACGGGCTGCGGGCATCACAGCCATCAGGGAGCCAGCTCTGCCAGCACTCAGCTTGGACTGGGCCCTGCAGTGGACCCAGCATAGCAGGAGGTGCTGGGGTGTGGGCAGCCGTGAGCAGCAGCCCAAGAGATGCAGCCATGGCAGATGGAGAGGGTGAGAAAGCAGGAGCCCCAGGACCTTGTGAAGATAAGATAACTGGACATGGCAAGGGAGCATGGTGGCCAATGCCAGGCACAGGCCAACACCCCGGCTGCCTCGAGGGTCTGCGTGTGGGGCACGGATCTCACATTAGAAGGATCTCACAGAACGTGGAGCCATCCACACCACCTCCAGCATCTCCCCACCAGCCAATACCCCCCACATCTGCCTGCCACCTGTCCCTCCACATCCTCTGGGCCCCTGGAACATGCAGTAGGATTGAGTCTTCTCTCTGCCACCACCCACAGGAGCCAACCCCCAAGGCTGCTCCTCAACAGCTCAGATCAGCTGCAAAGGCAGTAAGGGGAGCAGGGACTGACAGGAAAACGTCACGCTTACCTAGGGAGAGGTTCAGAACGTCGGGGCAGGCCAGGTGTGATGGATGCTGTTCCACCAGTTCAAACATGGGCAAGGCACCCGAGACCTGTGACAGCTGTGGGAGCGAGCCTGTCAGAGCAGCCTCAGAGGCCCCAGGACCAAATAAATGACTAGTGATGCGGGCAGCTCACACCTGGCCTCCTAGGGCCACTATGCAAAGGTGACCAGCCCCCCCAAACGTGCTGCTACCATGGGACGGTGACCAGCCCCCCACACTTATTGCCACTGCAGGATGGTGACCAGACCTCCCCTTAAGCCACCACCCAAAGGTGACCAGCCCCCCTTCAGTGCCACCAAGAGATAGTGACCAGACTTCCCCTTTGTGGCATCATGCTAAGGTGACCAGCCCCCTTTAGTGCCACTTCGGGGCAGTGACCAGACTAGGCCGCCTTAGCTCTGCTCCACCCAGTGCAGAGGATGGCCACAAACCTTTTTGACTTGCTGGCACCAGTCGTTAAAGTCGTCTTCAGTCTTGCAAAAAAATCCCTAAGAGGTAAAATAACCCCAAGTGGGTAGGAAGAGGCAAGAACACCAATCCAAGCTCTTGCTGACAGGCACATACACACGCTGAAAGCCACTTCCCAGAGCAGGGTGGGCGTGTGCCAGCAGACACTGCAGCTGGCACGCGTCCCCTCTGCCACGGCTGGTCCAGGGACGCTAGATGCCCTGCAAGAGGCTGCTACCATACACCTGACCCAGTCCCCGATGGCCGTGTTACTCCAGAGGCTGTAGGCCCAGGGCTTGGCCTTCCCCAGCTCAGCTGCGAGGCTGCCGAGACAACTCTGCAAACAATGGCTGCGTGTCCTGACAGGTCAGCTCAGAGGTGACACTGCCAGGAGTCCCCAGGGAATGGTTCACGTGGAGGCAGTGGCTGACTTAGTGATTCCCAGTGCCATGGCACCTCCAATGTTAATGGTCTCCTTACCTGTGCATTTTGAGGCAAGGAGGTCAGGGGAGCATGGGGTGGGCTGTGTGGGTGGGACCTGGTATGTGTGGGCTGAGTAGGGCCCATGGATGGCCTTGTGGATGGGGCATGTGGGCCGGGCACAGCCACGTGGGTGGGCTGAGTGTGTGACCGTGTGGGTGAAGGCAGGCTGGCAGGCCTCCCACAGCAATGGACGAGTCTACCTCTGCGACATGCACGGCCCGGGCTGGGCGTGCCATGTGGGTGGGGTACAGGCCTACCACAGCGATGGACGGATCTAGCTCTGCAATGTGCATACGGCAGGGCGGGTGCTGGCAGTGGAAGCTCTCGTCCGGGATGCTCCAGCTGCCGGGGAGTTCCACTGCGGGCTGCGTCGTGTGCGGGTCCAGGTAGATGAGCTCTTCGCCTACAGATGTGGGTCAGGCACACCCGTGAGACCACCGCAGCGGGCAGGAGTGGGGGACAGAGGGACATGGCTGCCTAGGAAAGCACTCATCAGGCTGGCACTGCCAGCCGAGCAGGGAACCCTGAGCAAAGCGGAGCCCCCATGGGTGAGGGGCTCTGGGGAGCCCTGGGGAGTCGAACTTTGGTCCCGGCCAGCTGGCACAGCAGTGGACCTTGATGCAGCTGCCACTCACCGACGTAGCCGATGAAGTAGTGAGCGCTGTTGGGCTTGCCTCCAATCACGCCCAGGGACTGAGTCATCCTGAAGCAGTGCTGTAGGGACAAGAGCTGCGAAGTCTGTGCTTGGCCGCAACGCACAGCCCTGCCCCCAGGGCCCCCGAGCCCTCACTGGGGTGCGTGGGAGAGAGGGCCCCTGAGAGCTTGGAGCAGGAAGACAAGTAGAGCCAGGAACCCGACTTCAGCTGGCTGCTGGAGCTGCTCCCTGGGGGACGGACTCAAGGGGCATGTGACTGTGCGGGTGGGCGTCACAGAGCCAGAAAGGTGCAGAGAGGCCCAAGCAGGGGCATCAGGAGGGGCTGCCCATAATGGCCAGGGCCAGAGACCAAGGGGTACAGATCTCAGCAGATAAAGGCTCCTCCTCAGTTCCAAACAGGGACGGGTTCCCGTGGCACCTCAGCCTGAGACCCGTGTCAGCAGACGGAAAGGAGGATGGATCTGGTGCAGAGATGGCCTCAGGTTCAGGGTATCAGGGAGCGTGAGACAGAAGCTGGGGTGCCTCCAGCAAGACCGGGTGCTGGCCCACTGCCCCTCTGTGGTATGAGAGTGATGGCTATGCTCCCTGTCACTGACAACTGCGAGGCTTGGTCACAGCACTGAGGGCATCCCCATCTAGCTGGCCTGAGCATTCTGCACTCTCCAGACCACCACAGCTGAGGGGGGCCCCAGCCCGCCCAGCTAGGGGAGTGAGGGGCACCCACCTTGTACGTCTCCACGTAGGCCTCACTGGGGTCAGAACCCAGCTCACCCCACTAGAAGAGTGAGGGGCACCCACCTTAAGCGTCTCCACGTAGACCTCGTGGGGGTCAGAACCCAGCCCACCCAGCTAGGAGAGTAAGGGGCACCCACCTTAAGCGTCTCCACATAGGCCTCATTGATGTCTGTGAGCCCAAGGCGCAAAGGGATGAGCAGCACCAGGGGTCTCCATGGTGCCGGCCGGCCGGCGGCCTCAGCTCCAGAAGGTAGCCCATTGCAGTGCTGACTGGGGTCAGCAGGGCAGCTGGGGGCCCCTGTACACAGAGGACTGCTCCTGCACAACCTTCCTGGAGGAGAGATCACACACAAGTCAGACGGGGACCGATGCCCTCTCAGGAGAAACAAGCCCTTAGCTCTCACAGCACAAGGCAGGCAGGAACGGGAAGTGCTTAAAACCCAAGCACACTCAGAAAACAGGGAAACGTGCAAGACAGCATCCTCACAATGCTGCCACCCGGAGAGAGGAGCCCCAACATGTGCACATGCGAGCTTGTTCCCCTGTAAAACAAGTGCCATCCTGAGAAGAATGAGGAAACAAGGGCCCACGTGCCGCCAGCCCAGCCAGAAACAGGCGCCTGGGCCCAGACCCCGAGGCCCCTGCCAACAAGAAGTCTCAAGGAGCACTGGCGTGTTCCTCTTCATTGTCAGACCACGTGTCTTCTATCAGGAGCTCTGGTGGCAGAGCAGCGAGAGCACTGGGCTGCTAAGTACAAGGTCGGCCATTCAAAGCCACCAGCCACTCTGCGGGAGAAAGATGAGGCAGTCTGCTTCTGGAAAGGTGCCTTCGCTGCCATCCAGTTGATTCTGACTCCCAGTGACACTCGTTGGGTTTCTAAAGTCTTAAGTCTTTATAAAAGCAAACTCTCATCTTTCTTCCCAGAGCAGCTTGTGGGTTCAAACCACTGACCTTTTGTTAACAGCCAAAAGCTTTACCCTACATCACCAGAGCTCCTTTCCATAAACTAATTACAGCCTTGGAGACCTTGTGGTGCATTCCACTCTGTCCTCTAGGGACGCTGAGAGTTGGAATCGACTCCACGGCAGTGGTTTGGCTTTTTGTTTATGTCTTCTACTGAAACAAGCACACAGCAATTCAGTGACAGGGTCACATGGAGATTAAGGGCACATCTCAGTCTGTGGGGATGCCAGCAGGTGCCCCTCTGTGCCCCAACACTGAGTCCGACACATCTCCCCTGCTGTGGGCCCTGCCCAACCTCAAGTCTCCATCAAGAATCAATTTCTTTGTGCCACAAATATCACGGGGTTGCCATGAGCTGGAGTTGACTCAATGGTAACCAACCACCACGGCAAAAGGTCCTGAAGACATTGACCCAGATACACAGCCTGACGTGGATCACCGTGCATACGCCGCTGCGTACAGCATGCCCAACAAATTACTGGTGGTGACAACATGAAAGGCCACTGTCTCCTGTTCCCCCTGAGACTTGGAGCTCCCCCCAGGCTGAGAGTACATGACTCAGCACCAAGGCTGAGGGCTCACGCAACCAGCCTGGCTCCTCTGGGACCCAACAGGAAACTCCGACAGCTTCCCCCCAAGTCCCACGACTACAATGTCCCTTAGAATCTGTAAATTACACTTACTGATTTCCTCCATGACCACTGTGTTATCCATTGCTACGTGGACAGCCAGCGAGCTCCACGTGTCGAACACGGCCAGTTTCCTATGGGAAGCAACACACACACCCATCAGCCCCCACAGTGGACACTTGGTCGAGACAGTGAGTTGGGCTGCCTGTGTGTGAGGGGGTGTCACCTACGTGAGCAGGAGCATGGGGAGAAGCTCAGGCCATCCTGCACACAGGCCCTCAAGGCTGGGCGAGCCCAGGTGGTGGGCATGGGGCTGGCTGCAGGGTGATGTGAGAAAAAGGCACATGCAGAAAGGACAGGTTGGGAGAAGAGGGAGCATGGGGGGAGCCCTGTGGGGAGACAAGGAGCAGGCCCCCTGACGAGGGTTTGGAGGGCAAAGGGCCACTTGGCAACGTCAGCCTCAGCTGTGAGGGGAGACCGGGGTACACAGGCTGTGAGGATGCGGTGAGGGGAGACCGGGGTGTGGGGCCTGTGAGGATACAGTGAGGGGAGACGGGGTCCGGGGCCTGTGAGGATGCGGTGAGGGGAGACCGGGGTACAGGGGCTGTGAGGACGCGGTGAGGGGAGACCGGGGTGCGTGGCCTGTGAGGACGCGGTGAGGGGAGACCGGGGCCCGGGGCCTGTGAGGATGTGGTGAGGGAAGACCACGGTGCAGGTTCTGTGAGGATGCGGTGAGGGGAGACTGGGGTGTGGGGCCTGTGAGGATGCGGTGAGGGGAGACCATAGGGGCGAGCTAGGACAGAGAGGGTGGATGAGCACAGCAGCCTGGCAGGCTCAGACAAGCTCGAGCCACCACGACCTCAGGAGCGCAGTCTCAGGAGCTGATGGGGGTCATGGGGCAGAGGAGGTGCTAGAGATAGCAGGCAGGACACACTGCTAGTGGGGGAAAAGCAGAGAGAGTCAAACCCCAACAGAGGCCACAGGAACAAGCAGCAGACGGAGGGACGGTGCAGCGGGAATGGCTGGATTCGAGCACAGGCCACGGGCACTCTCACATCTGGAAGCAACTACAGGCCCAGGGCAAAGGCAGACACTGTCCACCAGTGCCAACCACACAGTGCAGTACGTGCCAGGCTGCGCTGCACCCTGTGGGCGGGCAGCAGTACCTACTTGAGAACCTGGGCGACGGTGTTGGGGCCGTACCACTGGCCAACGGACTTGCCCTCGCCTACTCCCATTTGGGCTGTGGAGACAGAGGTGGGTAAGCAATGCCTGCCAGCTCCCCAGTGCTGTTCACCAGCCCCACAGCACCCCACCCAGCCCCCCAGTGCTGCCTGCCAGCCCCCCAGCGTCCCACCTGGCCCCCCAGCACTGCCCGCCAGCCCCCAGTGCCCTACCACTGCCTTGTGGAGACAGTGATGGTCAGTGCTCCTGCTTGGCCCCCCAGTTCTTAGCAGGAGGAGATGGAGAAAATGAAGACCAACTCAATGGGTGTCACTTTTACTCCCCGCGTAACCAAGTGGGAGCACTGAAGACAAGGGCCTGGCCTCCCCAGCACTGACTCGTAAGGGCACTGCAGAGCACAGGCCCTCCGGGCTGTCCAGAACATGGTGTGCACGCAGGCTGCAGGCTGAGACGGTCTGCCGCCCTCGCCCACGCCCCACCCCAGGAGGCTCTGCCTCCTAAACGTCGAAGGGGCATCCCCCGCTGCCCACCTATCTGGTGGATGGAGTAGTAGCTGTCCTTCCTGTCGACGAACGCACGGAGGACACTGAAGTAGCTGTCTGGCTGCCTCCCACGCTGGGCCCACCTCCAGTCTAAAGGACAGACGGTTTTACCCAGGTGTGGGCAGGGGTCTTCATGCTCCCAAGACTCAGGGACAGGGGACACCTGACCTTTCTGAGCCCTTCTAAAGCTCAAGGCCAGACGCTCCAGAGGGTCAAGTATACACAGGCCAACCCCCATCCATCCTCAGAGCTGGCCACAGGCACAGTGGCCTGTTGACAGCATCTAGTGAGGAGCATTTATCACGACTGTGTAAACCTGGGTTTCTAATCACTGAGAATTAACAGCCGTTGCTCTAGAAAGATCAGACAGGCTGCTGTGAAGCAGCCTTGCCCCACAACACCCACCCCAGCCCGGGGCTCACCTCGGCCCAGGTGCCGGCACAGCAGGGCCTGGGCAAAGATCATCTGTCCACACCGAAGCATGCAGCCCCAGCCCGTGTCCGAGGTGGGGCCTGTTCCCCCTGTCGTGGGGACAAGAGGCCACCATGCAAAAGTCCTGATGGGTTGTGTCATCTGTCCATACCACCAATACCTAACCTGCCTGTGACCTGGACCAACCCCAGGGGCCCAGGAAGTGCCTGTGATGCACACTGGGGGCCACTGACATGCCACTGAGCGGCTATATACAGGGGACGACCTCCACCCACGACTAGCATGTTGAGGGGTATGGGGACCTCACAGGGTGAAGGCACATGGCTTCTCATCCCAGCCCTCTGCCAGGTTCAGGCTCAGTGAAGAGCAGTCACCTGCCGCTGGAGAGCAAGGCCGGGGCAGGACCAGGAGCCCCGGCCTGGTTTCTGGCTCCAGCACTCCTCGGTGGGGACCAGCCAATCTACCGAAGCAGGGCTACTGGAGGGCTAAGGAAGTGCGTGTCGGGCACAATGCGGTCAGACCTACACAGCACTGTTCCTCCCCCAAGGCAGTCACACTGTTACAGATGGTCTCAGAGCAGGTCCTTACCAATGGCTGGGAAATTCTTTCTGTACGTAAACCAGAGTCTGGAGGCCACATCAGACAGGATCTCGTCCTTTTCTAGAAGTTCAAAAAGTGAACACACACAGATGTTTAAGTTTGTGAGTTATGTGTTACAGGACAGTTACGGTCACTCCTGTGTTATGGGACAGTTACCATCACTCATGTTACAGGACAGTTATGGTCACATGTTACAGGGGACGTTCCCGTCACTCGTGTTACAGGGGACATTACTGTCACTCACGTGTTATGGGACAGTTACTACCATCACTCATGTATTGTAAGACAGTTACCATCACTCATGTGTTACAGGGGACATTACTGTCACTCATGTGTCACAGGGACATTACTGTTACTCACATGTCACGGGGACAGTTACCGTCACTCACATGTCACAGGGACATTACCGTCACTCATGTGCTATAGGCATGTTACTGCTATGTGTTTCAGGATAGTTGTCACTCACATCACAGGAACATTATCTCACGTTACGGGAATGTTACCATCTCTCACATGTTATGGGAAACATCCCCTCACTCATGTGCTAAAGGACATTACCGTCACTCACGTGTCACAGGGACATTACTGTCACTCACGTGTCATAGGGACAGTTACCGTCACTCACATGTTACAAGGGACGTTACCATCACTCATGTGCTATAGGCATGTTAGTGTTATATGTTTCAGGATAGTTATTGTCACTCACATCACAGGAACATTACCTCACGTTATGGGAATGTTACCATCTCTCACATGTTATGGGAAACTTCCCGTCACTCATGTGCTAAAGGAAAGTCACTGTCACTCACGTGTTACGGGAACATTACTATAGCTCACGTGTTATGGGAGACTTCCCGTCAGTCGTGTTATAGGAAAGCTACCGTCACGTGGTAAAGTTATGACAGTGACATGGTACAGGAAGGTTATTATCACTCATGTGTTACGGGAACGTTACCTCCCGTATTATAGGGGATGTTACTATCGCTCATGTGTTACGGGAATGCTGTCACTCATGTGTCACAGGGGTTACTGTCACTCGTGTGTTACAGGGAACGTTACCGTCAACCACGTGTTGCAGGAAGTTACGTCTTGTCATTGGTTATATTTGAGTGGAGCTCTGACTCATATCTGACCCCATGCATGATGAGACTCGACTGCTGGGATCCAGAAGATTCTGGGAGGCTGACTTTCAGAAGCAGGCCTTCCCTCCTGTCTGTCTTTATCTGGAAGCTCACTGAACCCTGTTCAGCATCCTAACAACACGCAAGCCTCCCATGACAGATGGGTGGTGCCTACACGTGAGGTGTGCTGGTTGGCCTGCAAGTAGGCAGGGATTCAAGCCCTGAGCCCCCACGGCCCCCATTACAGGAGAGTGCAGGTGGTAGTTCTCGTCACAGGCCTCGACTGAGCTGATACCTGTGAAAACGCTGTATTTTCTACCCAATATCCAAACTGGCTCTGAGGTCTCAGGGAAGTCTTCCAACTCGGCAAATCTGAGAGTGTCGTAGGTCAGGGTAGCTGTGGGAACCAAGGACATGTACCCATCACATTCATGTTATGTTGCAAGATACCAAAGCAGCCCTCACAATGCTTCCACACTGAAGGAAACCCACACAGAGACAACACCCACGACAACCGGAGTCAATTCCCACGTGGCGCCTGGGGGCACTGCTGACCCCAAAGGCTTCCTGAGCTACCAGGTAATTGCCGACACGGAGCTGAGAGACCGAGTCAGGGCCAGCCCCAGAGGAGACATGAAAACAAAACGCCTGATTGAAGTCCTGGTTGGTTTAATGCCTGAGAAAAAAAGAATGTAGTTGTTCACTGGACGTGTGCAGACCAAGCTCAGTGACAACAAACAGAACGGAACCCTAGTTCCCATAGACCTGGCATTGTTAAGCAGTGAGGGGACCAGTCCCACCCTGGCCACAATGCTGTGTCGGGAGCAGCAGTTGCAGTGGGACAGCTATTCCTGCTGGCAAATCATCCCATCACCCCACGGGAATGGAGACGAAGCCCCTGCCGTCAGCAGTGATAAGGAGACAGGCCCCCAGCTTCCGGAGCAGTGCCTCTTCCTGAGGGGTCACCTCGTGTGGAGCAGAACCAAGTGTCTGCACATGCTGATTTGCTTCAGATGGGAAACGTGAGAGGCCGGTGTGTGTCTGCAGAAACCCTTCCTTGGCCATGCTGCTCCCAGAAGAGAGGGCATGGCTGGTGGCAGGGCCAAGGCCAAATGCCCACCAAGGAGTCCCTGCAGTGTGTCCCAGGCCATCAAGGGCAGAGGGCCCCCCCTTCAGCCATCCTGCTGACGACCCTGGGCCCTCAGCTCTCATCTGCTGCCCCAGCGTCCAACCGTCAAACATCCACTTGTACCCGTCACTGGTCACTCGAGAGGTCCCTGAGAAAATGAGGCTCTCGCCCACACCTGGCTTGCCGGGGCAGGGAGAGTTAGGACCCCTTGCAGCCTCGTCCCCCAGGATGCTCTCCTTCCAGCAGTCCAGACGAGCCCCACCCACCGTCTCCACATTCACAGTGCACAGCTGTCAGTCTGAGTTCTGCATTTGTCTGTGAAGTACGTGGGCACTCAATAAGGGTGTCCGTCCCCGTCACCGGCCTGATGGCAGGGGCACCCAGGAAGGCCCAGAACAGAGTGGGGCAGGCTGCTCTGGCCCTTGGCTCACAGCTGCCACTTCACGCTGAAGCAAGTCAGATCCCTGGTCCATAACTCGGGAGTCACAATGGGGTGGCCCAAGCAGGGCTGTGATGTCTCAGTGAGCCACTTTCCCAAGACCTTGACGCAGCGGCAGGCAGGCTGCGGGCTCCAACGAGGACTCAGAGGTGACGGTACACCCACAGTGCTACCCCAGAGGCCCGAGTCCCGGGTGCAGGGCTGGAAAGGGCATGAAAGTGCCCGCCCCCAGCGGCACATGCAGCACCGCGAATCCCCCGCGACCTGCTCTGTGGCTCTGTACCCCTCAGCTGTTAGGAGGCCAGACTCAGCTGGCTCTTTCTTTTGACCTGACATGGGTGACGAGACCCCACTCCCACTACACTGGGGCAGCTGGGCCACAAGCCACAGCTGTGTTCCTGCACTGTACTTGTTGATGCGTCCAGAGACCGTCAAAACCAGGCTGCTTCGGGCCTGTGGTTAGTCCGCCCACATCGCTGGTCCACTCTCTGTACTACCTCCTGTTTCTGGCCTTTCCAGGGAGCTGGAGGCAGTGAGTGCTGTGGACACACGGTCACCTCCTGCCACCACCCCTGCCCCCTCCACGCTGCGACGTCTACCACCTTCCTTGGCCCTCTGCGCTGTGATGTCCCGCCACCTTCCCCGTCCCCGCCACAGTGATGTCCAGCCACCTTCCTCGCCCCTACCCACAATGACGTCCGGCTACCTCTTCCACCCCCTCCCCGTCATGATGTGTGGCCACCTTCCCCGCCCTCTTCACACCTTGAAGTCACTGCCTTCCTTCGATTTCCAAGCTTGACTCACTGGGTACCCTAATTCAGGGGAGAGACACAGACGACCCGCCAGCTCTCAGCTCCCTGCGCCACAGGGCGGAGACGACACCAGTCTTTCTGGAGCTGGACCATGCTATCGTTGCGTAAGGCTTTTCTCAAAGTGCCAGTTCAGGCTAAAATGGCAGAGAGCTGCCGGGCATGTCGAGTGTCTCTTGTGCAGATAGACTCGAGGGAGGAGCATGCTCATGGGCAACAGGGCCACAGCGCTGTGCTGGCACACGTGCGTGGGATCTGATTTACAAGCTGGAGGCTCCTGGGTACCCAGGACCCCACGTGCAAGACCCAGCAGTAAGAACCAGTTAGGAGGCAGACAGGTGGTGAAGCACACAAACAATGCTAGCTGCGCAAGCAGGCCGAGCAGCCCGCAGCTTTGAGGCTAGGGCGGGGCAGGCGTGTTTCTCAGTTATTAGCACGCTTTACAGGCGAGGACACCAGCTTCAGAGAGGAGCAGCCACCTATGGAGGCGCCAGTGAGGGGGGTTCAAACACATCGTGAGACAACAGCAGGCTGTGGTGGCCTCAGGTTCCTGACAGCATGCGCCAAATGTAACAGGGCAATGGAGAAGTCAGCTCTCTGCTAAGGAGAGTAGGCACGGCTGGAGACACTCTGGCCACAGAGGCCAGCAAGATGCCCCAGGCCCCAGGCCCCGGCCCTGGCCCCCCTCCAGCATCTTACTGACCAATGGAGGAAGGAGAACCGGCTCCTGGTACCACTCACTTCTAGCACTCCACCTCATAACTTCCGCTGAGACTCCTTCGTGAGAGACTGCCGTGTCTCAGCCGGGTGACCCTCGTCAGATCCAGGCTGTGTCTGGACATCGGGGCAGTGCCCCAACTTGGGGCTGAGGCTAAGTGGCCAGACACAGGCCTCCAGGTGCAAGGGGTCCAGCTCACGTGCCATTCTCCGCAGGTCTACCAGAGCGCCCCCTCCTGTTCTATTGAAGACAGCCACTCAGTGGAAGCAGGCGTAGAACCTTCCTTTTCCAGTACACAGTTACCACTCAGAAGACAGCAGCTCGCCCCATACCCCAGCAGGAACACGTCTTTCCTTACAACGAGAGTCCGTGCTAATCATGTGTATGTGGCCTGCCCCACACGGGGGTGCCACTCTCTAAGGGGCCTTCACACTGCCACCACACTCAGGCTGTCGAGGCCATGGCCCCCATTCTGGGCCCACCTTTGATCACCACCCCACCATCTTTACACAGCCCCTACAACCTCTCAATGCAATTTAAACAGCTCTGAGTAAACGGCGCCATGCGTGGCAACAACAGACTAGCCCAGACTTCCAGTGCCCTGCTCGACCTGACATAAGATGGCCCAAGGGGACGCTGGACGGGGGACTGCCCCGGGAGCAAGCGCTCCTCCTCCGGTGCCCACCGTCTCATCATCTGGAACGGCCATTGTCACGATCAGAGATGGCGGAAGGCCTTTGAGTGACAGGGAAACTCTGCTGGAAGCATCTCTGTGACTGATGTGTCAGACAGGCAGGGAAGCAGGGGCCTGTGCTTGGTGGATGGTCTCCCCAGTCGGGGCCCGCTCCACCGCCAGTCAGAGGGCCACACGACATGACCACGTGCTGCCCGAGAGCTTACACAGGGCATCCCGACCGGGGTGTCATCCCACACCACTTACTAACCCAACCGAGGGTCTCACCTCCTTGAGAAAACCGCACACTTAGGGTGATCAGCTTGCACAGCATGGTCCAGACGATCTATGTGACAGTGCTAGTGGCTCAGTTTCAAACACAAAACGACAACAAAGGACAGAAAGGGCCCAGGCTGCAGCCGCCATAGACAGCACCTCGCCCTGCTCCCATAGGCTCCACAAAGTTGCCATCCTGTCATACGGGAACGTGTGATTCCTAGCTCAAGGTCTGCTCTGATTGCCGGCCACGGGGGGCCCTGGGGACCCTGAGCACAGGACGCGGGCCCTGTCCTCCAGGAATGGGCAGTACGGACATGCAACTGCCGACAAGCATGCTCTCACGGCGATGCTGGACAAGGACCGAGAACCCACCAGACCGCCCGCGACCCGACCACTGGGCCTCTGTGCACGTCAACTGTGCGTGCTCTCAGGCCCCCTCTCATCCAATCTCAGTCAGATTGTGGTGACTCATCCGATGGGGCCCGCATACCTCTACTTCAAGCCCAGGCCCTCCCTCAGCTCAGACCCGCAGGCCCATTGCACCCCGATACACAGGCGTCACACCCTCAACGTATACATAACGTGTTGCTGACAGCTCCCCCATAGGACAGGACCTGGGGTACAGAGTCTATCCCTTTTCGTGCAAACCTTGGCGCCACCTTTATTTAACTCCTCCTTCTCTCATTCCCCCAGCTTCAGTCTGTAAGCAAATCCTATGTGTCACCGCCTTAGCGGCTCCACATCCCCCCACACCTCCCACCAGCTGAGCCGCCTGCCCTCCTCCTGCCATCCTGGGTCCCCCTGCAGCACGCTCAGCAGAACAGCCAGGGACAGGAATCTGATCAGCTTACACCTCCTCTCAAGCCCTCCATGGGGTCACCGGCACATTCAGAACCCATCGGCACCCTGTCCTCAACGCGCCACGCCTCTCTGCCCTCAGCTCCTGCTGCCACTCCCATGCGCTTTGCCAGCCACCAGTCTCCCTGCTGTCCCAGGGCGGGCCACCTGCTTTCCTACCGGCACACCTCTGGCCTTGGCCCAAACACACCTTTACAGGGAGCCCTGTCCCCACTACTCTGGCCGTAATCACTCCCTCATGAGGACACGTGTGCCTTCCTCCCCACCGATGGTCTCGTGTGCAGAGTGCCAGTGACAGCCAGCAGGGCAGTGGTTTCTGCTGTCCCTTCTCCAGCACGGGGGTCTGTAACAGTCTCCAGCACACAATGGGCCCCAGCAGACATGGTTTCTGGAATGAACGACTGTAAAACCAGCAGGAGCTGCACAACACTGGATCAAGGGAGACAGAACTAGTAAGGGCTCCGGGGACAAGAGGAGGTCTGGGGCCACCCATCAGCCCAACGAGATGGCCAGCGTCCCATCAGAAGAAAACCAGCCCTCCACACTAGGAACAGCCACAACCCCCACAGAGGCCTTCCAATGCAGACACCGCTCCTTCTACGATCCCCAGCATCATCATGCGGTCACAAAATCGCGGCCGGGACTCAAAGGTGAGGATCTTCACATCTAAGTCAACGTCACTGGCGAGACAGCATGCCTTCCACCCTAATGAGGCCTGGCTCCAGTGGTCTCAGGTGACCACACAGCAGTAACTGTTAAGATAAATGGGTAAGTCCGTAAGACTCCTGGCCCCCCAGCAAATGGAGCAGTAGTTACTCAGGCATCACCACCACCTTCAGGGTCAGGGGCTCCTGTCTCCTCCACCCACTTAACACGTGTAAGTGGTGAGGCGCCATAGGGTGAACACATCACTGTTTCCAAGCCCAAATTTTAGTGCATTTGTGGTGCAGGTGTCAGAACACAATCAAGGCAGGAGCAACAGCTTGGGGCGATGGGTGAGCTAAGCCCAAGCAAGTGCTCCTCGATGGATGGGCACCTGCAGCAGACAAAGCAGGGACCCCAAGGGGAGAGAGTGCGGCGCGCCCCGGGCCAGAGCAGAGGGCCCGTCCAAAGCGTTCAAGCTACCGGGCCAAGCCCGGCTATGCAACCGACTGCAGCCTCCGAAACACCTCGGCAACAAACAAGGCCGTGCCTCCCTGGAGTGCAAGCGGGACAGCGACCTCTCCCGGCACGGCACACCCACGGCTTGCAGCGGAGCCCAGAAAGCCCGACACGCTCTCGCCGTTCCCCGGCACCCAGAAAACGCGGCCTGGCTAACTTCGTGGCTGCGGGGGTCAGAGCCACGCTGCGCCTCGCCTCCGACTCACCCGCGGGACCGCACGCTCCACATCCACAACCACATCCACATCCACATCACACCGCGCGGTGTGAGGACAGACGCCAAGGCTCGCACTTCCCCGCCCGGGGAGCCTACGGTCCTCCGCTCCGCCGGTCCCAGCCCGGGCGGCGCCGCCTCCGCCGCTCCTGCCGCCCACAATGCCGCGGTCGCTCCGTGTTCCAGGGCCTGTCAGCCCGGCCTGTCCCCTCGCGAGCACCCCGCTTCCAACTCCACAAGGACCCCCGGCACGCGCGACTCCAGCAGGACAGCGCGCGTAGCGGCCTCGGAAGGGAGCCGCCGAGCCCCGCACCGCGGCGTCAA